CAGCAGGCGCAGAAAGCCTCCGTCCCGTGACCGCAGTGCGGCCCGACCCAGGCCAGGCCTGCCCGCGGCCGCTGACACCCCAGTGACAGCGGGCGGGAGTGGCTGTTTCCACCACGGCAAAGCGTCACGTTGCGGGTGGCTCGTAGGTCACGGGGGGTCGAGGGGGGGTGCGCTGTAGGCACGTCACCCTACAGCGCCAGGCTCTGCCGGCCCCCCAGAAGGGGACAAGCACAAGATCCGGATCTGGGCAGGGGAGCTGCAGGGGAGTGACCGGCCCCTTCCAGGGGGTGGGCACCCGCGCTGCCGGGCTGCCGGGCCACAGGGGCCGCCGTGTCGGGGGAACGGACAGGGGGTAGGAGGCAGACCTGATGGCAGAGACACAGGCCTCCGGAGCCTTACTGGGTTTGAGCAAACCGCCCTGGAGACCGTCAGGAAACGGGCAAGCAGACGGGGTCTGGGATGATACGAGGGAGATTCTGCTGGTTGTGTCCATGTGACCGTGCACTTGTGTCTGCCTGTGTCCCCAAGGGGAAACGTAGCAGGAGGCTGCTGGGCAGTCCACGGCAGCCAGAAACGCTGCGAGTGGGGGCCTCCGTCCTGATGTCATCCTCTCTGCTTTTCTGGGCGGAACTTCTCACGACCAAATGTCCTTTAAAGCTGCCAGGGAATGTTCTCGTCTTCTGTGAAGGACGCGAGCCCTGTCCTGCCTCCACGGGGACCAGTGAGCAGGAAGCTGGCCTCCGCCCTCACTGCTCGGAGAGCCGGGCAGCCTGGGGGGCTGGGGGATTGAGGGCCCGGCTGCGGCCTCCATCGGAGTCACGGTCCCCTGGCAGGTCCCCTCGAGTAGACTGGCGAGGAGAGTCCTCAGTGCCCTGCGAGCTGCAGAAGAAACCTCTGGAACAGGATGGGGTGGACATTTTTTTAAATTTATGTTTAATTAATTAATTCACTGCTGACAACTGTGCAAGAAACCTCCTCCTGGCCTCTGGGAGCCGGCCTCGTCCTCCTGCTTCTCCCCAAAGTGAAATACTTGGTGTTTCCAGTATAAAATACCAGGGATGGGTGCCTGGGTGGCTCAGTGGGTTAAGCCTCTGCCTTCAGCTCAGGTCATGATCTCAGGGACCTGGGATCGAGCCCCACATCGGGCTCTCTGCTCAGCGGGGAGCCTGCTTCCCTTCCTCTCTCTCTGCCTGCCGCTCTGCCTACTTGTGATCTCTGTCTGTCAAATAATAAATAAAATCTTTTAAAAAAGAGAGAGAGAGAGAGAGAGAGAGAGAGAGATGGGCTTGAAAATAAAACCATGCCCAAAATTCCCAGGACAGACTGAGCAGCCCCCTAAGGCCGTCTCAGAGAGAACCTGTAAGGCTTTGGGGACAGTCTCCCGGACTCTCTCCTTCTGAGGCTCTGAGGCGTACAGACATGCTCTGCACGGCACACCCCTCTGTGCAGGGAAGAGGCGGCCCGGGTCATCCGAAGTCCACACCGTAGGAGAGCCTCCGGTCTCTGGTGTCTCCATGCGTCCGTTCCATTGCAAGGCAGTGTGGACGGACATGCCCCCGAGGCCCGGTCCCCTCCCCGCTGTCCCCTCCAGGGTTATTCTGCAATGAGGTCAGGCTGCCCTTGCCTGGGCCATTGCTGAGTGCGGGGCTGGGGGCAGCTGTCCCAGCGGTGTCTCTGGCACCTCCTCTGGGGATGGGGTGAGATGTCTACGTGGGAGGCCCCTGGGCCGAGGCCGATGAGGCTGAGGCCAGCAAGGAGCAGGAAGGGCGGGGGGCCCTGGAGCGCAAACCCCTGAGGTCCCCATGGCTGGAGGCCACGGAGGACCTATGTGCGGGGGCTGTCGTCAGGTGTGCCCAGCCCAGAGCTGGGCAGGGGCGGAGTCAGCGCTGGGAGACGTGGGAAACCCCACACCCCTAGGGGTTCTGGTCCCAGCCCTTCTCGGGCTTGGTTACAGTTAGCATCACTTGGGGACTCTGAAACAAACCGGTGCCTGCCCCACTGCCCCAATTCTGAGGTCACGGGAGGGTGGTGGGGAGCTATGGAAGTATGGAGAGCAGAAGAGCGGTGCCATCAGAGCCTAGCAGCAGGTTGGTCCACAGCGTGGAGGGTGGAGGGGCTGACGGGCACCCTGGGGACCCCCAGGCGGGAGGACTGGCTATGACCTCAAGCCAAGGACAAGAGGGGTGCCTTAGCTGGTGGCAAGTAAAGCTTCCTGGCAAGGAAGGAACCCAGCCCAGAGCAGCTCCATTTGCTGGTGCTTCTGCTGTCCGGGGGATAATCAGGAAGGACCGCGTCTGAGGAGGAATTAGGAGACATCTGCACAAGGCGCTTGAGTGTGTCTCAGGGCCTGGGACGGAGGCAAGGAAGCTGTTCAGAATGAACATGTCTTGAGGACGGAGGTGGGGATCTGGTCCTACCTTCTGGGCATGGTTCTGAAATGGGCCCCACCTTCATTCGGGGCTCTTGGGAAGCCTCTTAGCAGATCCCCAAACCCTGTGGTTCAGAGTGGGGTGGTGTCTTCAGACACAGGCCCCCAGGTGCTGGGAGCTGGGGTCTGAAGCCGATGTGGTGAGACAGGGAGCCCACCGTCGCAGGGCTGCTGGGGGTGGAGTGGCTGGGTGCCTCACCCTGGGTCCCCAGGGACTAGAAGGGTGAGGACAGACCCCTGAGTGGAGGTGGGCAATGGACAGGGTTAGCCCCTCAGCCCTGACGCAGAGTGAAGGCTCCAGAAACTCAAGGGCCAGGAGCAGTTGCCCCACTGGGAAGCAGAGGCAGACTTCCCTGCAGGGACCACTTCCGGATCGGTGACCAGCTGGCCCGGGAAGCGCCAAGTTTCCAGCACAGAGGTTATACTGTATCCAGGTAGAGTTCTACAACATGCCTTATTTGGAAACAGGGGCTTTGCAGGCATGATTAGTTGGGTTAGGATGAGCTCACACTGGAGTTGGGGGGTGCCTACGTGCAGTATGGCTGGTGTCTTCATAAGAAAAGGAGAGACACAGACACAGAAGGCCACGTGGTGACAGGCCAAGACAGGAGGGTCTGGCCACAAGCCCAGGGAGGCCTGGAGCCCCCAGAAGCTGGAAGTGGCAAGAAGGTTCCTCCCCTAATATCCCTGGAGGGAGTGTGGCCCTGCCCACACCTGGATTTCAGACTTCTACTGTCCAGAGCTGGGAGAGAAAACTTCTCCATGTTTAAGCCACCCAGCTCAGGATACTTTGTCGTGGCAGCCCCAGGAAACCACTGGCAACATCCATTCTTGTCCCTTGAACAGAAAAATGCATTTGCTGCGATCTAAAGCTTCATCTAAGTCAATGCGTCTATCTGTAACAGGGGCAAAGTCACAATGCACAGGCCTGGGCTGCTTTCCCCAGTGTCTGGGCCCACCATGGACCCAGGAGCTGGCTGTGCTGGCCCCTCAGAGGGTGGCTCAGGACGCAGGCTCCACAGTGGCTGCCCCCGGTTCCTCCTGAGCACAAGGGCCTGTGGGGCCCAGACGTCATCTGGAGCATGGTGCCAGCTAAGCCGCTCGGAGAACAGACTTCTTAGGAGAGCCTCAGGTTGCAGGGTCTAAGGAACGGGCCCAGGCGTTGGCTCTAAGACCCCCACCCTTGTCCTCAGGCACCTGGCCCCCTCCCCTGGCCAGGGAGGGTGGGGTCATCAGGACAGTCCACACCTGCATCAGGCTGCTCCCCAGTGTCGTTCCAGCTCCCCACCAGCTCTGTGACATGAGCGCTACAAGTGCCTGTGATTGACACATGGCGAAACGGAGCCACAGGCTGTCTGGGACACCCAGCTAGAACTGGGAAGGTCAAGGATACGGCCCCAGAGGTCTGACCCAGTAGCACCTGCCCTTTTACAGCTGCTTGCCACTGCACAGCCGGCAGGCCAGGAAGACGAGCAGGGCACAGCTCAGTGTGCACCGCGGGCCCAACAGCAGCCCCCAGCTCCTGGTACCTGTGCACCTGACACGGGCAGAAAGGGTCCCCACCCTGTGATGGAGTTGGAATGAGGTCCCTGTGGTAGCTGTGATGTCGTGACTGGAGGCCACAGCAGCCACGGGAGAGGCCACAGGAGATGGAAACAGAGCCTGGGGGAGGGAAGTGGCTGCATCCCGAGACGGCCCCGGGGCCCCAGAAGCTGGAAGAGGCAAGAGTCCCCTTTCCGGGAGTCCTCCCGAGGAGCCCAGCCCCGTGACCCCTGGACGTCTGTCTTCCGGCCTCCAGAACCACGGGAACGTGTTTCTGCTGCTCCCACAGCTCCTCGAGTTGTGGCACCTCGCGGCGGCGGCCACGGGAGAGCAGAGCCGCGTTCCCCACGCGCTCCCGGCCGAGAGGGTCTGGGCACCCCCACGAGCTGACCCCGGGCCCAGGGCGCAGGGCTCGCACCGGGTGCCTGGCCCACGGCAAGGAGCAGGGCCCGTCGGCCACGAGGCGGGGCCTGGGCCTCGCGGGGGCAGGAGGGGCGGGAGCTGCTCGGACCAAGGCCGGGCCGGGCCGCGCCGACACGGGTGGGGAGAGCGCGCCGCGCGCGAAGCCGGGGGCACAGCTCCGGGATTCGGGGAGGGTGGGTGGCGGGGTCGCCGGGGGGCCGTGGGGCCCGCGCGCGTTGCTGGGGACGGCCCTGGACTGGAAGAGCACCGCGGACTCGGGAACCCGCGGGAAAGGCCAGGCGGGACCCGGGCGGCCCCAGGTGCCCTCCGCGTGTCCTCCGCGCGCTCCGCCCCTTAAAGAGGCGGAAGGAAGGCGGGCGCGCACCGCCCCAGACGTCACGCGCCCGTATTTGCATAGGGCTCCGGAGTCTGCGAGGGACGCCGCGTGACGTCCCTTACCACCGCGGCCTCTGATTGGTTGTCTCCGGCGGCGCCGAAGAGTATTTGACTTGCGCCGAGCCCGCCCAACCGCCTCCCGTCTTGCTTATAGAGGGCGGGGCCAGGGGCGTCGGCCAATGGGAGGCGGTGTTGTTGGTGGCCACGGCGGCGCAGCCTCTGGAGCTAGCGAGGCCACCGCCGCCGCCAGTGCCGCAGCCGCCACAGGCGTGAGGAGCGGACGCGAGGCGCTCGGCCGGGTAACGGCGCGTTGGGACGGCGGGCGGGGGCCCGGGGCCGGGGCGGCGGGGGCCCGGAGCGCCGGGCGCGAGGCCCGGGGCCGCCGTGGG